ATACATACATACATACATACATACATACATACATACATACATATATACATTTTCATGGATTGGTTAGTTAATTGAGAAATTGTAAACCTTGGCTTCCTTTCTTATCTTATCTCCTACACGTTCGCCTACACGAATCACTTAATTATCACACATTCTATCTTACATAAATGTAACTCAGATAGAGAAATCACTTTCACCCCGTCCATACAATAAAGTTAACGAGCCAGACTTACAATTCATTTACTCTTTAACTGCTAAAACCCATAAATATAAATATAATAAAGTAAATATATATATATATATATATATATATATATATATATATTATCCGTTAATGGCTTTATGGCCAAGCAAACTCAATACACTTACCTTATCCACATGTATGTAATAAACATGTTGTGGGTCGTATAAAGCCTTTAATAAGCGATGTACTTGTCTTAAAGCCCGCCCGTTCAACGTTAATAAAAATGCAATTCTAACTCGTTCGGCATCTGGTTTCATGCTGGTCTCAGCGATTTGTGCTGCAAATTCTAAGGTCATAAGAAAAAATTTTAATTGAAAAATAAAATGAATAAGAAGAAAAACAAAAAAGTTAATTGCTTAGAAATATATAGATATACATATATGAACGTATGCACACACACATACGCACACTTATATAAATTTACGTATTTAAGTTTACAATATGTGTGAATATATGTATATGCATATGTATATGTATAAATAATATAAAAATTCCTCTTAGCGAATATCTAGAGTCTCGCATCCAAGTCGAATATATGGAGCGTTGTCGTAAGGAAGGACGGACATGCTTACATTACTTGTATTCTGGAAGCAATTAAGTTTCTTTACGTCAATGCATGATGAATTCGCCGCGACAAACGCCACCGGTTGAGTAAAAAGAGTGCGTGTGAAAGGCGAAATTTGATTAGCGATTTTTTTTTGTTTAATTACGAAACATGATAGTCACTTTCAATCGGCTAATTATTATGGATTAATCATAAAATGGAGATTTTAAACGATTCGAAACGACACAGATCGGATAACACGCCAACATTATCCAATCAAACATTGTAAATTCCATTTCTTAAATTAAAATTTGCTCTATTTTCGCTACGAATTTATGTTTACCTTCAATACACACACACACACACACACACACACACACACACATGTATAGGTATGTTATATATGCATGGATTTATCTGTGACTTTGTGTGTTCGTAAACTTGTAAATTGTATATTTATGTAATTATGCGAAAACCTATGCTACTAGACATCAACAGCAAGTAACAATTATATAGCGGAACACGGCTTATCCTCAAATACCCTACATCAATTCGCTTAATACAATTATTCATAGAACCGACATTTCTACATAAGCCGTTATGTGGCAAAATATGCGACCTATAAGTGGACAGATCTCAGACGAACAGGCGGACATAAAGACAGACAAGCTTTCATCGATTCAGAAGTTAATTGTAAGCATTCAAATTCAGAAATGGCTTCTAAATCGATCCGTACAATAAAAAGCCGGTCGATGTCAGATCCTTCTGACCATTGCCTTGCACCATAAAAGTTATAGGGTATGATATATATATCAATTTAGATGAGGCTTAGATATTATGCTTTGACATCCTTTGCCGAATAATTTTTGTCGTTCCAAAAACCAATGTAGATGTCATATAATATATATGATAAAGAAGCGCTAGACACACCATGGATGAAATATGTGTCGAATAGTGAAAGCAAAAGACAAATTTTCCGATTCCGAACCCGCACTTCATAAATATTCACTCTCCGCAAAAGATAATGTTCAGAATAATCATTCAATATTCCCCGAGTATCATCAAAAAAAATAAAATAAATGAATAAGAATAAAAATAAAAAACGAAAGAATAGTGGACTATGCTATACACGAACTTATACACGATTTTATGAGATCTCTGCTGTACGGTTGCATGCTTTACGTGCTTTCGGTAAATTTAACATGTTCGCTGTAGTGCTTAGAAACATATGCATAACTGGCGATAAGAGCGAAGCAAATTAATTCCAACATTATTTGCACAGTCAAAAGAAGATAGATGCAATAAAAACAAAAAAAAAACAAAAAAAAAAAATGGATGGAAATAGAAATGGAAATGAACATAAATTCTAGAACGTGTTGGGTTTTATCTGCTGTAGGCGTTGAAGGCATCAAAATTTTAAAGTTAACCTTCCATTTCATTGTGAAGAATTTAAAATTCTTTTCCTTTATTGTCTTTCTATTAAGTCTTTTACTTACTTGCTATTCCTGTTTCGTAAATGTTTATCGCATAGTAACCGCCGCAGACTTCGTGAGTGTCGCCGGAACATTTCATGCTACAGCTGGAATCCGGTAGTTTTGCTGTACTGGGTGGTGCGTCAGTACCGCAAAAACACTCTCTACTGTATTCGACACCAGCGTACGGGAAACCCGATTGTAAACATAATTGGACACAATTTTTTGGTGTATTGGTAGTTTTAAAATTAATGAAATAACCGGACAAAAGGCGAAATTCCTTTTCATCTCTATAGCAGCCAAGTTGATTATTCGCAGTATGGTTGCCTTTGGGGCAGTGAGTGGGTAAATGGGAGGCATAGAATTCGCCGGCTTGTATGGCACAGACAACGCTAGCGATATGTTGACGACAGTCTTTGGTTTTTGCGCGCTGCAATGCAGATATAGCTTCCTTGGCAATTATATCACAATTCGGTTTGAAGCTCAACTGTTGTGCAGATAATAGCGAAGTAGGAGAGATATCGGTTTTTGCTTTATTAGCAGAAGGCAAACGTTTGCCTTGCGCTGTTAAATTAGAAGAATCTTCATCATCGCTTGCCGAATTTTGATGCTGAGTTAAATGTTGCAAAGCTAAAGCTCCATTCATTTGTTTAACATCTTCGGCTAACGTATTCTCTATACTGGTAACTAAAGATAAATTTAATGATTTATAAGCCAAAAATATTTGCGTGCCGAAAATAATTGCTCCCATTAATAAAATATACAATTTATAACGCCACACTAAACGACACACCAAATTTTCAGCCATGATATCACGATAACTTCCAATCCGTGCAGACAGAAGGCCAAACAAAGTTGGTTTTGAAATATATCCCTGTAAACTCCAAGTAGTAGAAGCATATACAAATCACCAGTTTAAGCATGACAAATCCTTATTAACGCACACTAATGTGGGTTAGAAATATCTTTTAACTTTTTTCTTACTGGCGAAAGGTGGGCGCAACGTGTTCTCGCTAATCAAACTACTTTATTTTTAACATTTTTAATTAAATCATGTTCTAAGAACACCTATGAAAATTTTCATAAAAAAATAACTCGGAAAATTAACTATAATAAACTACACAGACACCGTCTTTAAAGCAAAATGCAACTGATTTTTAACATTACATTGTGCCAGTTGGTGTACTCGTAATTAACGTAATAACTCAAACACATAGAGCACTCATCAATTTTTTTCTTAACGCATGCTTGTCAACCTATTTCTTTTCTCCTATAATTCATTCTCTAACTTTCTTATAGAGTTTGTTGTTTTTTTTTTGTTTTTTTGATCTTTGGATGTACGAATAAAGACTGATATTATACCTGTGACATACGTTATAAAATAAATGATAAAATCAACAATAATTAGCACATGTACTGCAATAATATGCATATCCTTTACCTAATATTCAATTTTTTTAGAGAAAAAAAAAATGGATTATTTTTTTTGTTTCAATTTCTAACGAAACACAAATGACATTTTAACTTTCATCCTCACAACCGAATAAAAAAACGACCAAAGCAAAATGTACCATTCAAATTTAAAAACTTCTTGTCGATTGTTATGTGAAATACTATATAGTTTAGGAAATTATTAAAAAAAATTTGTAGTATAGAGATTAAAATAGATTAAATATTGAAAAACTAAAAGGACTTTCAATAGCGCACCACTTTATAGCATTTACGTTATATATTTTATATTATAGATTTTAAAACTAATACATACGCATTATTTCCACAATAACTTACGTTACGAATTTACTAAGGTAACCGTCAACAATGAGTTTACCACATCATACAGAAGTGTCAAGTGTCTTCATAAAACAGCTGCTTAATTTCAACTATTGTAACCGATTACGTAAAGAAGAACAAGTGTAAATACAATAAAATATATTTGGTCATTTGTAAATTTGTTAAGACAAAAGTAACATGGTCGATCCGAATCGTAAAATTAATCGCTTAACTGATAAAGATGTTGAGTTTCTCGTTGAATGTGAAGAGGAATTTGGTGATCGTTATTCGCATGATGACGATGAATTCATGGCTCATTGTGCAAAATCCTCGGCCGCACCACCAATTGTAGAGAATTGGTCCGCAGCTACGTATGGTGTTGGTAACAGCGGTACGGGAAATCACCATAACAACAGATCTGGTCCTGGTCGCCATCAGAGATCTTGGCGCGGTGGCAATCATAACTTTTGGAAAGGCAACTACGATAACCGACGCCATAATGATAATCGAGATACGCATCGATATAGATCTAAGGCATACCAAAAAGACCGTAGACCCATGAATATAAGACGTGACTATAACAATTTTGTAGCAGCCTCCAAAGATTGATAAAAAAAACAAAAATTTCAGATTCTCAATAATAGTAATTTTGATGTTTTATATGAAAGTATAAATTAGAGAACAAATTTATTGAAATAAACTTTTTCTTTTTATAAGGATAAATCATCATCGGGATCTTCTTCATCGTAATTATCACCGATATCTGTAGTATACGCAACATTGGTTGACCTGCAATAAATTTATATGAGAAATTATTTTAAATTACATTAAACTTTCTTATAAACTTACATTTCATACGGCATTTTTAAGGCATTACGGGCTACCAGTTCATCTTCTTCTAATTCAATTTTGAAAGTACCTAGTTGTTCTGGCATTGGTTGTTTTTTCTCCCCAGCTTCTGCACTCGGCTCTTTACATAATTCGGGCAATAAATTGCAACCATTCCTTTTATATGAGTAACGTTTAAAGGAAGCACGTCCGCTGTCAGATTTGCGTTTAAGTATTGTTAGATGAGAATCAGATTCTATATGAACAACCACGTCAGCCATATGTTCACAACCAGCTATTAAGTACGATGAATGCTCATGGAGACAATGCTGCGGCGTTATCCATACGAATATGTTATCAATTTCTCGGCATCTTTTCAATTTATTTAAAAATTGCAGGACAAATGAAGCGCTTTGATAAACCAGCATTTCTGAAAATGGCGGCAATATAATATTGCATTTGTTGCATTCCTCTTCAGATGATTGATTGAGATTGGGATTTCGGCCGCCAGCTAATTTTTGCCAAGTATCTTTATTTCTTAGATTATCATCGGACTTCAAGGTTTTTAATATTATATCTTTATCAGGTAAGTCATCTAATATTCGCTTTATGAGTTTAATTGCCATTCTCTCTTCACCCAAATCATCTATAAAAAGTACCGCAATCTATTAATTTATATTTGCGGCTTGTATGCAATAAAAATAATTTACACGTGCCTGTGAAAACAATTAAACCCTTTTGTGCATTAACTATTAAATTCGACAACATGATAAATTATAATTCTAAATATTTGGTTTAAATAATATTAAATTAACTAATTCGCACTTTCCCAGAATATAAATTTTTTTTTAAGCACAAAATCAGCTGCGTAGCGCGGTTGATATTCACAATTGCATGAAAGCTAACATTGTAGAAAATACTTTTTTTAGCGGTTAAAAAACGGTAAATTTATTTCTCTATTGATATTATAGCGGATTTTATACACAAAACAGCGCTAGGGTGCAGCAACATAGCGACCACAACGCGTACATCTTCAATATCGTTAAATTATTCAAAAATAGATTTTATATCCATCATTTTCGATCGTATGTAGCACTCTGACCTCCTCTTGTTCAGCGTGAAAGTCAGTCGATTTACCCTATACGTATCGTTTACTATTCGTATGCTGACATTCGGGAATATACATGAATAGCGAAAGGTGTGAGGCTTGGCGTTTATATATTTTTTAATTTTATAGACGTGCATTAAGTTTGAAAAAAGGAGAGAATCACTTCAACCAAACACTCTATGGTCTGTGTAGTATATCGTGGCAGATTGCCAAAGTAATGTAACTCTTATTACACAGTAGTAGTATAGTAATAAAAGTGATACAAAACGTAATTGTAAGTCAATATTTTTATTTTTAACATCTATTTTCGCTCATTTTCGAATTTAATCTGATAAGAATATGAAGAAGCATTCAGATTGTAATTGTAATTCTAATCGTTAAGTCAGTCCCTTATTCAAAACCTGGAATATTGTGAAACATCTAACATGATTTTCGATATGGTACAATCATAGCAAAAGGAAAAGCTAAAAACAGCCAAGTTATTGAAATTGTCATACGTGTCAATCAAATCTGGCATCTCTTTTTACCTTTCATAAATTAATAATGATATCTGGCAGCCTTTAATCGTTTCGTCTTAAACACTTTGACGTACTTTAAAATGCAGCCTTGCCTGCTAAGTCAAGAAAATATTTTACTTTTTTCAATTGGAGAACTTTTTTCATTGTGTGAATAAAATTTCAAAAAGCGAAATTCTATTGATCTAATACTAATCCTTATTAATAAAAAAACCCACAAAATGTATGGCAAAACGTTTAGTAAATAGCAATTTGGTGGTTTTGCAGTGGAAGACTTAAAGAAAATTCCATTAAAATTGCATTGAACAAAAAAAAAGTGAAAATTTCTAACACACACAACACGCAAGAGGTAATCAAATTCTTTTTTGTTACAAACAGCGTTTGTGTTAACTGTTATTGTTGTTGTTGGTGGCGGTGGTGGTGGTCGTTGGTCGTTGTCGTCACTGCATGAGGAGTAAAATAAACCATAAACCTAACGGCAAGAAGCAACCAAACTCGAACCCACAAGAAAACATATAGCATCCATAAGAGTAAATATAATTTTAATGAAAAAATAACAGCAAAAAAAGGACAGCTATTCCGTATACAACTATAAACCATTATCCTAAAGTTGCTTTCGTTTGATATTATTTATATTTAATAGAGTGCGTCGCATCTTAGCAGGGCTTACAGTCGTGGAAATGATTATACAAGAACCCGTTCAGGTATGGCGTTTATGTCTAAATTCAAATTACGATTAAATTAATACATGGTTTTTTTCCAGGCAGCCATATGGCATTGTCTGAACCATTATGATCACAAGGATGCTGTATTTCTTGCAGAACGTTTGTGTTCAGAAGGTAAATGAATGAAATTTATATATATATATATATATATATATATATATATAAAATACTCGTTTTTGTTGTTGTTATTAACGAACATATATATATAAAACATCGAATATAGATTAGAATATAATTAAATATAAATCATTTTTCATTTTCATATGTCGCAGTGGAAACTGACGAGACCATATTTATATTAGCGACCAGCTATTATCGTTCCAATCTAATACATCAGACTTATTGGTTGTTGAGAGAAAAAGCCCGTCGTTCACCACAATGCCGGTTTTTACAGGCTAAATGTGCTTACCAACTAAAGAAATACGCCGAAGCTGAATGCGCTTTGACCTACAATGGTTTTGGTGATATGAAAAATAGCTTTGATGAGATTGTTAAAGAGTTCGGCGAGATTGCTTGCTTTGTGTTGCAACTAATAGCACAGATTTGCGTAAAGACGGAACGTAACAAAATCGCAACAATTGCATTGCGAAAAGCGCTTAAGCTAAATCCGTTCATGTGGCAAGCGTATGCTGACCTTTGTCATCTAGGAGAATATCCAGACGCTGGCGCTATTTTTCAAATAACGAACACGGACGTCTTCAATACGTGTCAGGGCAATACGAATACGAATTCAATGATTCTATTTGGTGCAACAAGTGCTATGAACGATGGCGGTTCATTGCTGGATAGCACTGGCAAATGTATCAATAATATCAACATAGCAATGGAGAGCAGTGGCGGCGGTTTCATTAGTCAATTGAGTAATAGTTCAAATTATATTCTGACAACACCGGTTGATCAGTTGCTATCTGCGCCCAATAATGGTTTGGGTGCCTTACAGAATCTTACAACGCCAAACAACAACAGTAATAATTTAAATAGTTCCATAACAATGTTGAGAGGTAACGTAACCAATTTAGGAGGTATTAGTGGTATTCAACAAAACTCTAGCTTGATGATGTTAGACGACACTCCAGTGGGTTATGCCACAGAACAAAATGCTGGTGTTTGCATTGATGTGGGTGCTAGTACGCCATTCCGCAAAAAATACAAATATCTTTCAACCATATCGCCTGCAACACCCAGCTTTGGAGTTATTCCCCTTACAAGCCCCTGTGGCGGTGGTGACTCAGCGTATTTAACAGCTAATCTTAACATAACCAATTCTCCCTTGCCACAAACATTAGCTGAAGTTAATCAAGAGCCAAAAATTATCGGCAAAAAAATGAAAACACATATTGGCAGTTTAATTAATCGCAAAGACAGTACATCGAATACGAGTAATAGTAGCAAGCCGGCCGTATTTACCCAAACCGGTAATATAACCCCCCGTACTCCTAATATTCCCGGAAATGTAACTACAGGTGGAGTATAAATTCAGTCAATTCTCTACCTTATTTAATAGCAAACTTTTCGTTTCTTCCTTTTTTGCTGTCACTCTCGTTCTCTCAGGTCCGACAATTCCCAATGCTGCCGTACGTCGCAGTTCTCGTCTGTTCAGTCATAGCGCCTATTCCGTTAAGGAAAACAACAAATCCCCAAATATAGCAAATAAGTTTGTGCAGCCGCGTTCACCGTCACGCAAACCTAAAACACGTATTGGTAAAATTTGCCTAAACAATGAACTGATTGAAGACAAGTCTATTAATGCCCAGGCAAATCCAGAGAAGCTCAGTGAGAAGAGTATGAAAAAAGACAAAGAAAAAATAGAGACAATAACGTCTGCCACAACCGGTACAAATCGTTCAACTACCGAAGACGCTAAAGTTCAGCTCAATAATAGTCTAAATAATGCCCAAACAATGGCTCATCATCTATTGTCTCTTAAGAAGCAATCAGCCGATGGTCTAATGGTTTTACTACGTGATCTCGCCGAAGGCTATAAGCAGTTGCTGCATTTTCATTGTAAGTCAGCCATAAGACATTTGGAGAGCATGATACCAAAGCATCATCTTTGCTCAAGTTGGGTACAATCGATTGTCGGTATGTGCTATTATGAGCTAAGGGATTATGAGTCTGCGGTAGCTACATTTAAACACGTCCACGAGAATGAGCCGCAGCGCTTAGATTACATGGAAATATATTCGTCTTCATTGTGGCACCTTCAAAGGGAAGTTGACCTTTCGGCCTTGGCTCAAGATCTTATGAATCAGGATAAAACTTCGCCCATAACATGGTGCGTAGCGGGTAACTGCTTCTCTTTGCATAAGGAACACGAAACTGCGATTAAATTTTTTAAACGAGCGGTACAAGTGGACCCAGATTTTGTCTACAGTTACACTTTATTGGGCCATGAATTGGTTTTAACAGAGGAGCTGGATAAGGCCATGGACTACTTCCGCTCGGCTGTTGTACGCGATCCTCGGCACTATAATGCCTGGTTCGGTATTGGTACTATCTACTCGAAGCAGGAGAAGTACGAATTGGCCGAATTGCACTATATCAAGGCTTTAAAAATCAATCCGCAAAATTCTGTGATCTTAGTGCACATCGGTGCCATGCAATATTTCATGCAAAAGAAGGAACAAGCTTTGCAGACCTTTAACACTGCAGCTACTCTAGATCCTAAGAATCCCTTGGCCCGTTTTCATCGTGGTTCAATTTACTTCTCACTCGGTAGACATCAGGAGGCTTTGCGAGAATTGGAAGAGCTTAAAGAAATTGTGCCAAAAGAATCGGTAGTTTTTTATTTAATAGGAAAGATCCACAAGAGCTTGGGTAATGTAGACTCAGCTTTAATGCACTTTAGCTGGGCTACCGACTTAGATCCGAAAGGGGCTAATAATCAAATTAAAGATGCCTTCGATTCAATGTCACATCCCAGCTGCTGTCCCACCATCGATCCCGGTTTAGATGCCGATCTGGAGCCTATTTCGGAGCGTTCCGACGATTCAACACAAGTTCAAGATGTTAACTATGATAGTGACTTTTAAACCGGTTAGACGTGCTCATAACCTAGATTCAAGTCCATTCGAACATTGTTACTTGAAGTTTTCAAACTTTATTTTCTCCTTTTTCCCTGCCGACTGACTGATCGCTCGATCACCTCTTGTAGCCGAATGGACGGGCAATACACTCACATTGCATACTTTGTAATTGTTTTCTTAATATTTTTTTTTTTTTTTTTCGTTTTAAATGTGTATGTGTAATATTTCAACATCTCAATGTAATATGTAATGTAATGCATAGTTATTATAGCATTAATGGCAATCAAATGCAAAAAAAAAAAAAAAAAAACAACAAAAACAAAAACAAAAAAACAGAAAATAAACACTAATCAACCAAAACATTTCATTGTGAAACAAAAAGAATAGAAAAAAAAACCAAACAAATTTGTTCATATATATATATATAAAAGAAAAAGGAAAAAAAAAAAAAAATAGCAAACAAACAAACAAACAAAAGCATAGATTACACGCAAACATACATATATACGCTGATATGAAAAAATTAAAAAATGTTTAAATTTAATTTACTGAAGAATATACAAAGAAACTGAAAAAAATAGAAATAAATATAAATACAACTAATTTAGTTTACTTCAATAATGGCATAGAAAAAGCAAACAAAACGGAAAAAACAAAAAAAACAAAAAAAAAGAGAAAAGAATGTTTATTGTTTGTTGTAATAAAAAACGATACATATTTGACATTTTTTACTTTAGAAATACTGAGGCGCCGCAGCCAGTAAGTATTTGGTTTATTGTGCATTTAATGCGTGGAGCATGAATTCAAAATTTTTTTTTCTATTTTTTTGTATCCCATTCTCTCTTTCTTACTCTCTCTTTATCTATCTATCTCTTTCTCTCTCTCTCTCTCTCTCTTGGATCCCGTAATTTACTTTTACACATGGAGAAGTTTTCGGCCGCACAAATAGTTGTTTATGATCAGATCACGCTCATGTTCTCATAGATGAAACTACAGCCATTCGCATGCATATTATTTAACTTCTGGAATGGAATACGTCATTCTCGATAATAATCGCCTTGACGATTTTCTGTCCCGATGCAGACCGGAATAGTACTCGGGACGGTAAAGGAAACAAATTTTTAACCCGCTCCCAGTCCGTGCGGGCAGTTGACCACAAAACTAGGATTACAATTAAGTTACTTTTAGTGCGCTAACACTCACTCGTTACACTACCGCAATAACCTCAGAAGGCAAAATAATCTTGAATTATTTAAGCATATGCCCTCTTTATCTCCTTGATATCGCGAAAAAGGTGACTTTAATTTTCGGGCAAATAACGAAATCGCCTAAGCGTATTCTCTGATATATGATTTGGAAATCTACTTAATCTAGCTTATTAAAGCTAATAGGATTTTATAGTGATTATTATTGGAATGGTAAGGTCAGTCAGTAATCGGCATATTATACGTATTATCTGGGAGTCTACAGGCCGCTAATATGAATTTTTGTTTTCCAAAAGGCTTTTCCTATGATAAGCTCAGGACATGACAGAGAGACACACTCTGTTTAGGTTAAGGTAGAACTGTGCATTCGTGACATGGAAATGTCTTTTCGCTCAAATATATGAAAATTTCTTGTGTTTTTTTTTTTTTTTGATTCACTTTTCTTTTTTTAACCAAATTTGTTGTAGATATTGGGAACAACTTTTTTTCAGACATCGTTATGCATAGTTAACATTATTATTATTAACGCGTTTGTGTGGGAGATTTTTTTTCTTTTTTTGAGAAAAATAGTTGCAAGTGATTTTGATACTGAAAATGTTTACAATGTAGGAGCGTCTCACCTTCCGAAGTTAGAGTTAAATCGTTCAATAGAACAACGGCAGTGAAGCAGAGAGACTATTGGGCAGATAATGCAAGGAAGACTACTTAACTGTAAATTGCAAAACGTGTGCTTGGTTGACTGGACTCTTACAGAGAGAGACCAGTCACGCACTAATGCCCTTTAATCAATTAAAAAAAACTTTAATTGATTTCTCCGGTCGACCAGCATCGAGACCACTCGCTAGTTCAATGTTGACGAATTAAGAGTTTCCAGACTTACACGCTAAATTTCTGCTATAAATTTTAACGGAGAGAACTAATTCAACAAGATTTTCCCCTAAAGAAATTTTTTTAGCTTTTCAAACAACAAATGATAAGATTGTGTGTGTGTGGATTATAGACTTTACAGAAAACTTTACGCCTAATATTATACTTTATTTATTTTCGTACTGAAATAGCGAAAATTATTGCTTCCCATACAAAGGCTTACCTATGAGATGAGAATCTTTTATCCGAGTGCGTTCAAAAAAAAAAAGGCTGTTTGAAATGAAGACCATTTTGCCATATAAAGGCTTAGTTAACGTAGAAGGGGATCTAAAAAACCTAATTCATTCGGTTTACATTTTCATGAAAATGTTTTATGTGTTAGTATCGTGTTGCGTGAACTTTTCGCCCAGGCAAGATGACAAAATAATACGAATAAAAGAAGAAGCACAATTATATGACGTCATTCTTTATCGGGTCGCTTAGGAACGTATGATTTTTTCCTTATTTGTAAAAACTGGAAAATTTCTTATTGGAATAATATCTTGTTGAATTAATTATATAATAATAATAATAATAATAATAATGATTCTCTCTTTCGTGGGCGCGAACATAAAAGTATAATTGCAAAATTTATGGAGTGCAAGCGATGGGAGAGGCATCATTTTATGCAAATGCCTTTCTTTATTTACAGTTTTAATTACAATACAAGAAGAAAATGCACTACATTTTTTTTTTTTTTTTTTTTTTTTTTTTTTTTTTGTTGAAAAATGTTTATTTGCTTTTCAAAAAAATTCTAACTTAAAACTAAAATTTACATAATGAAATAATAATTCTGTTGGTTTCATTAATATTAATATGTATAATATATGTGGTAAGTGTATATATATATATAATATTTCTCATTGATTTTCTTAAACAAATGTGTTTTTGTTTTTTTTGTTTTTTTTTTTTTTTTCTTTTTGGAAATTTGTAATACCATCAGCGGCTTTTACAATAATGTATGTGTGATAATTGCTCTCTCTCTTATTAAGAATTTTACTAAAATAATTTCATTTCATTTTTTTCCTTTTTTTTTTTTTTGTTTTTTTTTTTATATTTTAGAATTATAATAATAATAATAATAATAATAATAATTTTTTTTTTTTTTTTTTTTTTTTTTTTTTCAAACTGATTTTATTTAATTTTACTTTAAATTTACTTTGTAAATGTGAGGTTGAAATACACATTAAACACTTTTTAAAACCCATATTTAAGTACCAACCAGTTTGTGATATAGACCTAAAATTGTAAATTGTAAAATCAAAAAAAAAGACAAGAAAAAAAGTTAAATTAAATGATAATTAATGACACGTAATTATTTTAGATGAAAAAGTGAAAGATAATTTTCTTCTTTTTTTTTTTGTTAAAGAAATTTATCATAGAAATGTATAAAATATTTTCAAATGATTTGGGAAAATGGATTTATTCGGAGAGACAAAAGAAATGTTAAGAGACAATTTGACAAATTGAAGAGATAGGGATGAAATAATAATAATAATAATAATAATAATGTAAAATAAGCTTTGCTTATTTAAATGAGTAATTTTTTGTTTTCCATTGAATGACGTGTGTAAACACATGTAAGAAAACAAGAGAACAAGAGAAATTTGCAAATTTCCGTTATATTTACTGTAAAGCAAATAATTCAACCGACTAACCGACTGACCGACTGACCGACTGACTAACCGACTCCGTTCTCCTCTGCAAAGAGAATAATGTTACTTGCCTTTACTGCTCTTCTTCTTATGTAAAATTACTGCTAAATTCATCTATCAGTGCCCATAAATGAATTTTAAGCTCCTCATGCAATTTATCATACGCTTTAGCTCATATTTCTCTTACTCGAACTTACTTACACTTGCGTACGCAATAATTGGGGGAATTTTAACACAGTAACATATGTTATACATATATATATATATATATATATATATTTTAATTATTACAAAGGTTTGTTTACATAGAGGCAGTATTTCTTATCCGTTTTTTTTTTTTTTTTTTTTTAATTTTTATACCCTACACCACTTGCGGTACAGGGTATATCAAGTTAGTGCGGAGGAATGTAAAACGCAATACCGATTGACTTAGAATCATAATTTGAATTGATTTAAGCATGTCTGTCCGTCTGATGTCTGTCCATGTAAATTTGTGTTCAAGTTACAAGTCGCAATGCTTGAGATAATTTAATGAAATTTGGTACAATGATATGTTTTGACCCAAGGTCGAACGCTATTAAAAATGATTCATCTCGGTCCACTTTTTTGACATTATAAGGGGCAAAAAAAAAGTTGCAATTAGTAGTAGCAGTTTGGACCGACTGGAGCAAGTTTTAAACATCCTCTCATGTAACGAAAACTTCAACTTATGTTGAAGATTGTGTTCACGATGAAAATTATATCATAATAGTAATTTAATATATAAGAAAATTAACTATACCGCATTTGCACTATCTCGGTCTGTTTTTCGAATTCTACCCTAAGTGGCAGTTTCACAAAAACTCATTCTTTCGAGAACGGAAAAGTTCAAGTTTTAATATGTGGTGATGGAAAGTGCAAAAGTGAATTCTGCAAAATTTTGACCCATCTACGCCTATTTTTGGATCCTGCCCTATGTATTAAACTTGTACTACATTAGATTGCATTTAGGACCCGTTTCGCCATAAAATATGCCTTTATACAGAAGCAAGATACAATTTATAGTTTATATTCTATAAGAACAAAAAAAAAAAAAAAACAAACTCAAATCGGATGAATACTGTGAATATATTTCTTTTACTTTTCGGACTATAACACGCAGTTTTATACATAGAAAAATTGCTGAGGGGATGAGATAGGATGGATAGAAAGTGTTATTTGCAAAACGTCCCGGTGGATTGTTTAAGAAGCCTGCGACATTAATATGAGATCAGTTCAGAGCGCATACAACCAAGTAGTTTCTAAAAGTAATGAATGCAGAATTAGCAGTCATTCCTGGAGGCAACGCAAGTCAATTGCAATTCGTAGATGTCACTATCAACAAACCAATTAAAAATTTAATGCGAGCAAAGTGAGAGAAATGGATGGTAAAGCTAAATAACGATCTCACTATGAATGACCAATAATTTCGGAATTTTTTACCTAAGTGAAAAATTCGTGGGAAGCTGTGAGAGAGAAGACGCTTATAAAGTCGTTAAAAAAATGCGGAATACATAATGCGAACGGTGAGATCAATGGGA